ACAAAAATTCTATTCTTTATTTTCTTGACTTTTTCCTAATTTTCATCAAAAATATAATTACCTTCTATTTTATCATGACGCTAATAAATTGAATTCCTGCAACGAATTTTATTATATTCATGAAAGAATTTAAATATTTATGAAAATAATTTAATTCTTGCGAAGAAATTTATAAAAATTTTTAAATAATTCATTTTTTTCGACTAATTCTATGGAAATTCTAATTTAAATAATTGAATTCCGGAGAAATTTTTATTATTTATGAAAATAATTGAATTCTTGCGAACGATTTTATTGCAATTTTTTAAAATAATTGAATTTCCAAGAAGAAATTTATTACTTTTAAAAATAATTGAATTTTTGCAAAAAAATTTTATTAAAATGCCTAAAAATAATTGAATTTTTGGGAATAATTGAATTCTTTCAAAGAATTATTTATGTAAATAACTGAATTCTTGGGGAGAATTTTATTAAAATCTCAAAAGAATAATTGAATAATTGAATTATTTCAAATAAATTTAATTAAGATTGTATTTAAAATAATTGATTTCTTTTTAACAATTTTTTTAAAATAGTTGAAAATAATTGAATTCCTGTGGAAAATTCGAATATTTTTGTAAATAATTAAATTCATCCAAAGAATAAATTGTAAAAAGACAGTTTTTTATATAATTGATTTTTTCGAGAAATTAAAATTCAATTTTCAAAAATTAATACATTTTTTGAGCAATTCCTGTAAAATTATATTAAAAATAATTGAAATACTGCAATGAATTTTATTATTTATGAAAATAATTAAATAGTTGCACAGATTTTATTAAAATTTTCAAAAGTAATTGAATTTCTTTGCAGAATTTTATTATTTATGAAACTAATTGAATTCTTCTGAAGAATTTTATTAAATTTTTTTGAAAATAATTGAATTTTTCGAATAATTTTACTAAAACCATTGAAAATAATTGAATTCTTATAAAGAATTTTATCAGAAATTTTTAAAAATTAAATTATTTTTCGTAGAATTTTAATAAAATTTTTAAGAATAATTGCAGTTTTATTGGAATATTTTTTAAATTATATTAAAAATAATTGAGAAGCTATACTAAAAATTTTATGATTTTTGAAAATAATTGAATTCTTCCAACGAATATTATTGTTTCAAATAATTAAATAGCTTTGAAGAATTTTATTACTTGTGAAAATAATTGAATTCGTTTGACTAATTTTAATAACATTTTTAAGAATAATTACATTTTTCGAGGAATTTAATTAAAATTGTATTAAAAATAATTGAAATTCTGCAATGAGTTTTATTATTTATGAAAATAATTGAATTCCTAAAAAGAATTTTATAAATATTTACGAAAATAATTGAATCTCTGTAATAATTTTATTATTTATGAAAATAATTGAATGATTGCGAAGAAATTTATAAAAAATTTGTAAATAATTGCATTTCTGTGAAATTTTATTATTTTATGAAAATAATTAAAGGTTTGCGCAGAATTTTTAAAACATTTTTTTAAATAATTGAATTCTTTTGGAAAATTTTGTTAAAATAGTAGATATTGAAAATCATTGAGGAAAATTTTTGAAAACAATTGAAGTTTTGCAAAGAGTTTAATTAAAAAATTTCTAAATAATTGAATTTCAGAGAAGAATCTAATTATTTCTTAAGATAATTAAAATTCTGCTGTGAGTTTTTATTATTTATGAAAATAATTGAATTCCTGAAAAGAATTTTATTATTTATGAAAATAATTGAAATTCTGCATGAGTTTTATTATTTATGGAAATAATTGAATGATTGCGAAGAAATTTTCAAAACATTTGTAAGTAATTGAATTTCAGTGAAATTTTTATTATTTTATGAAAATAATTAAAGGTTTGCGTAGAATTTAAAAAAATTTTTTTTAAATAATTGAATTCTTTTGGAAAATTTTGTTAAAATAGTAGATATTGAAAATCATTGAATTAATGGAAGTTTTTGAAAATAATTGAATTTCTGCGAAGAATTTTATTAAAATTTTCAAAAATATTTAAATTATTAATATCGCTTTTTTTTAAATTTGACCTAAAAGTTTCAAGAAAAAATTGTGGTAATTAGAAAAGAAATATTTTCCAAGAGCGTTACTAGTGAATGAAAACAATTTATAAAAAAAGGATAATGTGATAATTTCCAAAGATAATAAAGAGTAAAATTCAGCTACCGAATCTGTATAACGCAAAAGTGTACTAGCTTTCATCTTTTTGATGTAATAAGTTTCATTCCTCTCGAGATAATATAACTTACGCTACATTTAATTGTTAATTATTTTTGAAACCAATAAAGGTTCTTTTGTTATATCGAAACTTCTTTTTTTAAAAAAGAAGAGTGTGTGTAACGAAACAGATTTAATTATCGATAATAAACCATTTCTTATTAACTCGAAAAAAACTGAATTGATAAATTAAGAAATAATTTTTTTAAGAAATTAATTTAATGATGGTGTTTTTTTAAATAGATTTTTACTTGGACCGGAATAAAAAATATGAAAACAAAATGCCAAATTAAAAATACATTAAAATGAAGGAAAAAAAATATACAATGATATAAATCATTTTAAATTTTTATTTTCGATTTTTATTTTATTTACTTATTTTCATCACATATTTTATTTATTACAAGTTTAATATAATTAATTTTATAATTGTAAATTATTTATTAAGTTATTATAAATATTAACAAAAGTTATTTATATATTGATATAAAATATTCCTTCACTATAATAAAATATATAAAAATGTATAAATGTTTCATAAATATGTTAAATATTATTCATAAATAATTTATGAATCATTTAATATTTAATTAATGCTTTATTATTATTTATGAATAATTTATAAATAAATTGTCAATTATCCATTATTTAGGTACTATTATTATTTAATTATTATTTAATTTTTTATTTACTATTATTTATTTATTTATTAATTTTATTTATTTCAACATGAACCAATTGTTTATTATTTATAATAATTTATAAAATATTTTCCTATGGAAGAAAAATAGTCAAAGATGTTTTTTTTCTATTTTTTTTAGTAGAATTTTTTCGTCTTCTTTGTCCAAGTTCAAAAAACAGGTGTCCAGAAAATATTGCGAAAGAAATCTTGACTAAGATTCGTTAACATTTTAATAAGCGCATGTTTGAACTAGATTTACGCAATAAATTTATATTTATGCAAATGGACAATTTCCCGTGCCAAAGGAATTTACGATGGTGTTATAATTACGAAATTGTGGCATCAAATTATAAGCAAAAGCGAGCGTTTATTGCCAATCAGAATTTGTAAGTTAAATTAATCCAAAAAAATTTTCTAATTAAAAAAAAAAAGGAAAGAAAAAAAAATTGAATTTTTAAAACAGGAATAAGAAAATTTATGAGTTTTGTTTCTTTGAAAAAATGAGATTAAAAAAAAATAAAAAGAAGATAAATAAATAGGAAAAATAAATGAATAAAAAAAGTAAATTCAAATCTGAAGTTTTTTGATCAATTGGTTTATATTTAAATAAATAAATAGAATAAATAAACAAACATTTAAAAAAATACATTAAATAAAAAAAATAAAAAAAAATAAAAAAAAATAAAAATAAATGAAGAAGTGAAAATTAATTATTAAATTTAAAAAAAAATGTTCACAGTGGAAACAAAAAAAGGAGAGAATTAAAAAAACACTCATGACAACATTAATAATTCAATCATCTCCTCGTTTGTTGTCGGAAAATGATTAGTTAATTAAGAGGCGCATAAATTACGCGACTATTCACAACTGTCCGTATAATACAATGAGTTATTAATGCTATTTTAATAATAGCAAAATTTATGTCCGCCTTTCCTTTCTCGAAGAAACAATGTAAATGAACTTATACATTATTATTGCAAACATTGAAAATGTCTGTTATTCTCAGATTTTTATAATAACATTATAATACATTTGCAGTGGAAAAAAAATCGCTATTTACGAAATCTTTTCCAAATACACACACGTTTTATTTATTTATTTATTTTTTATTTTTAACGACGGAACTACTGGTAGTTTTGAAAAATAGTTTCATTACTTAAATTGCGGAAGAAACTGGTTGTAAATTTAATGTTTTATGTAAATTTTTTCGTTGCATGCAATGAAGTTTTTTTTTCTTTCAAAAGCAAAAAAAAAAAAAGAAAAAATTGGAAAAAGAGAGTAAAACTGAAATTCTTTACTAGACGTTCTGATATCGTATATATAAAATGTTACTTAATCAATGATTAAATATGTATGCACACCACACGAGATGAGATCCAGTTTTTTATGCTTTGAATTTTTATAAAATTGTCTAAGTTTCGTTAAATGCGTGTAGAGGTAAATTTTTAATTTTTCTTGAATCTCGTTATTTGCATTAAAAATAATAAAAATTATTAGGAATTCGTTATTAATAATTAATTAATCATTATTGAAAATTACGATGTAATTTATATAATCAAAATTAATACATAATTAACAATAATTAATAATAATAAATAATAATTAATAATAATTAATAATTCATTATAATTAATATATACTTAATAATAATTAACTTCTGATATTTATTATTGAAAATAGCAGAATTTTTTTATTTATTAATAATTAAAAAAATCTATCGGTGAAAATTTATACTAAATTTTCATGTAAAATTTTATTTTTTTAAATGTTTTTAATTTTCTTTTGTTATAAATTTTTATGGAAAATTACTGAAAAAATTAGAAAAATTTAGAAATTATTTCGAATATTATTTGACGACTTTTCTGTAATTCGTAATTACAAGGAAAAGTTAATATTGTAAACAAGGAAGAAAACGACCTTCGTCATTGTTAGTAGAGGTTGTTTCATTCTGTCCTTGTCTATCTTTCCCTCAACGACAATAAAAGTACGAAATTGAAATTGAAACCTTTCCCCCTCTCTTCTTTCTTGCGGAAAATTCTCCCTTTCTACCTGAGTGACTTTTCCGAGCGTCACAGTTCATTGACCTCCTTTGATGGGGCAACTTGGCAAATATAAAATTTATTTTTAAAAATTAACCAGAATTTAATTTTTCAAATAGTTTAATTATTTTATTTAAATTTAATTGAAATTAATTATCAATATTCAAAATAAATTCACTTTGTGCCTCGTACAACAGATTAAAAGTTTTTCGATTAAGTAGAATATTTCGATCACAGGTAATAACAGACCACAATAATCAAATTTTAAAACTCAGATTTTATGACTAATGTTTATTCAAAATTTTCCTTGTCTAATAAAATTACAATTTTTTTTTTTTGCAGAAAGACATTACACCACAGTCTTGAAGACATTGAAGAAGGAACAATTCTCCAAAGGAAAAAAAAAAATTTGCAGATCTGCCCGGAAATTTCGCTTTCAAGACCATAAGAAAAGAGAAACAGAAAATGAAGGGGTGAGTCAAATAAATAATTATAAAGTTTTTTTTATTACTTCCCACTGAAAAAAATGTATACTTAAATCTGAAAAATCTTTATCTGCATTTTTTGTTTTAAACAGTGGATTTTTTAAAATTTATTAAAAGTATTATACATTTTTTTGATGAAACATTTTTCAGTCTAAGCAATTCTTTCTTAGCACCACGTGTTAAGAAAAAATGCATGTTTTATTTTCACAAGTATTCTTTAAAAAAAAAAAAAAAAATAGTTACCACATTAAGCTTTTTTTTTAGTTCTTATTAAGCAAATCTTTTATAAATTTCAATTAAAATTTAATAAAATCTTATTGAGGTTATTTTTAAAATCATTATATTTATTATTCAAAATTTGCTTTTAAATTCATTTCAATGTCTTATATTGAAAAATAATTCTATAAAATTTAGAAACAATATTTGTTAAAAGAATTTTTTTAAATAAAATTAAAATTAGAGTATGAATTATAAATATAAAAATAAATAATTAAAACTATTAACTTTATAATAACTAAAAAAATTAGAATCTAAACTAACATAATTATAACAATTTTTTTACAAAATTCTATAGAAGTTATTGAAAATGTAAAAATAAAAAAGAGAACTAATAAAAAAATAATTATTACAAATTTAAAATCAAAAAAGTAATCAGTGAAATTTTTGTTAGATTTTTATTTATTTTATTTATTAGTTTTAATATTTTTTCATTCTTAAATTAAAGTGGAAAATTGATGAAAATTTTCGAAATTATTATTTTAAATATTAGTCGTCGACTTTTCAATGACTCATTATAAGAAAGAGAAAAATGTAATCCCTTATTGTAAACAAAAGTTTATGACTTTCGACAATGTAGGAGAATTTGTTTTCAAATCTCAATTTCAAATCTCAATTTCAAATTTACTAGAAAATATTAAAATGTGTTTCTGTTAAAATAATAAAAAATGCTTAAGTATTTATTTCAGTAACATTTATAAAAAAAATTAAAACTTATTGAAATGAAAATGTAAGAAATTGTGTAAAATATAAAAAATACATTAAATAGTATAAATGGTAAATAATTAAAAAATAAAAAAATTTAGAAAATTTTTAAAAGAATTATTTTAAACTGCAGAATGAGTACCAGTGGTCATAAACTTTTTATCATTTTCTTTATTAACAATGTAAATTAATTTTTAAAATAGTTTAATATTGTCTTTGAGTAAAATTATTAGTTTACTTGAATATATTCATGGAAATAATTTTTTTGTAATTGTTACTGTTAAAATAAAAGTGTTATTATAATCATTACAATTAAGAAAAGTTAAAAATAATCCTTGTATTAAAAAATAATTACAAAAGATATTTATAAAATATATAAAAAACTTTTGATTATTGAAACATTATTTTATAATAATTAAAGTTAGAAATTATTCAACAATTTTGTTACTTTCAATAATTAATGATTCAGAGAAATTAATTAATAAATAAATAAAAGAAAATGGTAAAATTTTTTACTAATTTTTCTCGTAGTATTTTATTTTTTGATAATTATTTTTGGTGGAAAATTACTGAAAAATTTAGAAATTATTTCCAATATTATTTGACGACTTTTCTGTAATTCGTAATTAGAAGGAAAAGTTAATATTGTAAACAAGGAAGGAAACGACCTTCGGCATTGTTAGTAGAGGTTGTTTCATTCTGTCCTTGTCTATCTTTTCCTCAACGACAATAAAAGTACGAAATTGAAATTGAGCCCTTTCCCCTTCTCTTCTTCCTTTCATGGAAAATTCTCCCCTTCTACCTGAGTGACTTTTCCGAGCGTCACAGTTCGTTGACCTCCTTTGATGGGGCAACTAGTTGATTATAAATTTGCATTTAACAAATTGAATTTTATTAAATAGTCGGAATAGTGTTAGTAAATTTCATTAATAATTTAATTAATAATAAAAAATAATATCAATCAGACTTTAATAACTAACATTAAATTTTATCTGTTAAACAGGATGTGCAAGAATTTTCCGCAATGCAACCCATTTTTCGAGATTTGGATCATCTCTTCCTCCTGAATAAATATTGAGTAAGTACTAACAAATATATCTGTTTTTTAAATAACGAATTTTGACTGGCAAAAAATTTATTTGCTTCAAATAATTCATTACTTGTCTTTTGTTAAATAAATATTTACTTGAATCAAGCAATTTTTATTGAGATCAAATAAATTTTATTTGAACTAATAATTTATTTAATCAATTTTTAATTTTTTTCGATATTATTTTCATAATGAAAATTTTTTCTTTTGTTTCTATTTTAATTTTTTAATTTAACGATTTAAATTTTATTAATTCTGAATTATTTATTTAATCAATAATTTGGTAAATAAGTTTTAAATTATCATTTTCTTGTAACAGCAACTTCTAATTACTCATACAAAAATTATTTTATTCTTCTAAATTAATTAAAATTTTATTAATTAATTTTAAATTATTTACTTATTTCAAAAATATATGATTGGCTTTAATAAATCATTTCCCTGCAATATTAATTTTTATCAATTTTTGTTTTAAAGAAACCATTTTTTTATAGAAACCTAAATTTGATTGTAGAAATTTATTTTTTTGAATAAAGAAACCATTTTTAGTAGAAAAAAAATTTAGAAATAGAAATAAATTAAAATTTTTTTTGTATTTATTTCTCTTGTCTAAGGAACTTGAATTTTTTTTACAGAGACTTTTTTTATTATTCCGCCAGCCATTGGTGAACGACAAGCAAGGAAGCTTCGAAACCTCGTTCAGTGATTAGTTCTCATTAAATTAAAATATTTTTTGTGTTGTAAATTATGTAGATAGGGATTTCGAAAAAAATATGATTGTATTAGCTAGGAAATTAAAAATTTCGGTAGGTTTAAGGAAAATATTATATTTTTAAGTATACAAGAGGATTCAACATCAAGCTTTCAACTTTATAGGAACATTCATTCACCGAAATTTATGGGTAAGTCAATAGACAACAATGTTCTATTTTTTATATTACATCCTGTTACCGAATCACCTTTCTGAATTTTTATTTTTTCTAAAAATTGTTACATTTTGAAATCCATGTGTAAATTTATAGAAAATATGTTTTTGAAACCACAAAAAATTTGCCAAATGAAAAATTGTTTTTTATAATTTTTGGACATGTAAAAAAAAATACTTTGTTTTTAGACTGAAAATGCTAAAAAAAATATGAATATTTATTCATTTTTCTGATTATTTATTTACATGTTTTTCTAACTAATTTAAAATCTTAATTTTTTTTAAATCTACTAATTTTTAGGAAAAGTAAAATTCAAAAAGAGTAAAAATACTTTCTAACCGATTTTATTTTAAGGCCATTAAATTGATATATTTAAAAATATTAGTGTACCCCCTCCCTTTGAGAAAAGATATCAAAAGAACTTTAGAGAAATATTTTATTTAGGCAAAAATGAGTAAAAATTGAAAATAAAAAAAAATAGTAACTATTAAAACTAGACTAAAAAATAGTTTAAATTTACTTTTCCTTTTTAATTTTTTTAATTTTAATTTAATTTAATTTTACTTTTTAATAGTTTAATTTACTTTTCTATAAATTTTAATTCAACTTTAATTGAAAAATTCTGTTCTAAAATTGAAAAATTACTTTTTTTCATTGTAAAATGCAAAAATAAAAAATAGAGGTAATAAAAAAATAATTATTACAAATTAAAAATGAAAAAACTAATTAGGGAAATTTTTACTAGATTTGTATTGATTTTACTTATTAGTTTTAATTTTTTCTCATTGTAAAATTTATAATGGAAAGTTACTGAAAATTTTCGAAATTATTCTTTTCAATATTAGTCGATCACTTTAATAGTTGTATCTAATTTTTAATGCAATATTTTATTTTTCGAGTATTTTTAATTGATTGTCTTATAATTTTGATAGAGAAATTATTTTTCCTCTTTTATTTTTGATGGAAAAATATTTTTTCTCTTTTATTTTTTATGGAAAACTATTTTTTTCTCTTTTATTTTTTATGGAAAACTATTTTTTTCTCTTATAATTTTGATGGAAAATAATTTTTTCTTATAATTCTAATAAAAAATAATTTTTCCTTATAATTTTAATGGAAAATTACTGAAAAATAAACTTATTTCCAATTTTTATTTGACGACTTTTCTGTAATTAAGAAATTACAAGGAAAAGTTAATCTCATATTGTAATCAAAATAGATAACGACTCTGCATTGTTGAGAAAACTTGTATTCTTTTCGTCCTTTTCTACCTGTCCTTCAATGATAATGAAAGTTCGTAATTGAAATTGAAATTGAACCCTTTTCCCCTTCTCTTCTTCATTTCGTTGATATTTTTCGTCTCTTACCTTAGTGACTTTCCCAGAGCGAATTTCACGCAGCGATGTTTATTTAAAAAGTCGAATTTTGTTATAATTTCACATTGATAAAAATTTTTAACTTATTAAAGTTATGATAGTTAATTGTTTTTAAAATTAATAATAGAATTTATACTCTGAATTTGAGCGTTCAAATGACGAAATTCTTTTACTGCTTTCAATTTATATTTTATTATTATTTTTTAGAAAAAAATAATTTTTTTATCTTAAAAAATTAATTGTAAATTTTATACGTTTTTATTCAATTTTTGAAAGAGTTTAAAATTATTATTGTATTATATTAATATAAAAGAAAGAAATAATCTTTTGATTTCTACTTTCTAATAAATTATTTATTATTTTATATTTTTATTTATGTATTATAATTTTTATTTTTCCAAAATAAATTTCTTTTATTAAAAAAGTTAATTTACGAATAATTAAATATTGAATTATAATTATTTTTCTTTTTTGTAATTAGATTTTCTATAATAATTAAACAAGAGAAAAAATTTCGTCTATTTGAAAGTTTAAAATTTTTAGAAAAATGTTTTTGAATCAGTTGAAAAAATATATTTAAACAAAAATCGATAATTACTGAAACGATAATTAATATTTCTATGTATAATTTTCTAAAATTTAACTGTACTTAGTTTTATTAAATCAAGTCCTTAGTTATCACTATTTTTTTTATTACAATATTTTCAAAATTAATTAGGTATTTACTGTTTAAATAAAAAAAAGAGTAGACTTGTTTGTAACATTAATACACAAATTTCTTTCAATTTTAAGTTACACTGAAAAAAATTTTATATAATGAACCGATTACTTGACTATTATCATTTAAATATTTACTTGAATCAAATAATGTTTATTTTTTATTCTCAATTTATATATTTTTTTAAACTTAATTTCTGTGTGTAATTTAGTAAAATTTAACTTAATAATTATTTAACTGAACAATTAGTTTTATTAACTGAGTCAAATTATATTCTATAATTTGATAATTATAACATTTTTTGTACAACTCGGAGTGATATTAGTTAACCTTAAAGTTTTATTTATAATTTATATTATTATTTAATATTATTATGTACATTATTTATTCCTTAACATTATTTATTTATTCCTTAATATTATTTAATTTAATTATTATAAACATTATTTTCTTTATCAAATAATTTTTAAGTCCATTAAATGATAGTTGCTCTAAATACTGAAATTATTGATTCAAATACAATTTTATTGATTTAAATAAAAATTATTTGATTCAAGTAAATTTATTGATAATAGACAAGTAATCGATTATTTTGAAATTAATGAAAATCAAATATTAAATACTTCCAATAGAAAAATATTTGAATGAAGAAGTAAATTAACGATTTAACAAAAATAATTTATATGTCAAGTCTTTACTAAATAACTTAATTTTTTTACGGTCATATAATTTATATGTCAGCCTTTCTAATTAAATTAATTTTTTTTACAGTCATCACACTAACTAACAACTGACAAATTTTTTACTCAGTTCGCAATAAGAGGTCAAAAGAGGAACAGGAGCAAAAGGTAAGTGAAAAAAATACAAATATTTTTATTTCCTTCTCTTTATTAAAACTTAATTATTTCTTTCTCAGTCTCCTCTGGGGAAACGCACTTTGCTTATTCTCTGAGGAATAAGATGATGACTGTGTGTTTCCCTTGGGTGGTGGAGACTTCTTTTTCATTCTTCTCTTTTTTTTCTTTCTTTCTTTTCTTTTTCTTTCTTTCTATCTTTTTTTTTCTTTCTATCTTTTTCCATTTCATTATCTCTTAGGGAAAATTAACTTGGCTTTATTTCTTTTTGGTAAGGAAATAAGACTAAGTTGTGGTGTTTTTTCCCTAGGGGCGAAACTACTTCCTTTCTACCCTGGCTGACCAAGCTTTTCCCATCACTTTTTCCCTTAATCCTCTAATGTTTTTCTCCCTTTTAATTCTTCCTCCAATCTTTCCCCATTTCTCTTTCTTACTCTCACACTTCTCTTAATCTTCCTCCAAACTTTTCCCCATTTCCCTTAGTCTTTCTCTAAACTTTTTCCCCCTCTTCTCTAATTCTTCCTCCAATCTTTTCTTTTTCCCCCTCTTCTCTAATTCTTCCTCCAATCTTTTCTTCTTCCCACTCTTTTCTTAATCTTCCTCCCACTCTTTTCCTAGCCTTCTCCAATGATTTCCCTAATCTTCAAAGTTTAGGGGAATTTTTGGAGAAAGATGGAAAATTTGTGGAGAAAGATTAAAGAAAAGAGTTGAAGAAAGGTTATAGAAAAGATTGGAGGAAGCTTTCCCAAGTAGGACGTTGTCCGACTACCCCTACTTGGGAGTAAAGTGAAGTCGGCAGACACAGGAGAGGAGGTTAGGACTCCAACCTCTCTTGGCTTAGTGTCAGTAAAAAAGTCCATCCCAATGGGATAGTGACGACTCTCTCTCCCACTGGGAAAAACCGAAGTCGTCCTCAAGGAGAGGATTTCCGACTTCCATCTCCTTGAGTAGGAAAGGAAGTTGGAATTGAAAGAACCCTTAGTCGAAGTCAAGAAGAGACTCGTAATGAAATAAAGAAACGAGTCTCTTCTGAGAAAGAAAAAGAAGGGGGGGTGTACGTTAATTTTTTTGCTCGTTATTCACAGTGACCTTCTTTCGCGTTCGACTTCTTCGTGGAAAGAGAAGTTGAAGTTTGTCCTCTTCTACTGAGGACGACTTCAAAACTTCTCCTTCCTATTCAAGGAGACAGAAGTCGACAACCTCTCTCCTTGAGGACGACTTCGGTTGGTCCTCCTAAGTAGGAGCAAGGGAAGATGGAGTCGTAACCACTTTCCCCTGGGGTGTCGATTTTACTTTCAAGGTAGGGTAATCGACAAATCCACCTACCAGGATTCTCGGACTTCTCTTTTCTCCTTTGGAAGAGTTCGAGTTTTCTCTCTCCCACTTCCAAGGAGAGAAGCTGCTTTATTTCAAGGGGATTAAAGTTACTTTACTTTCTCTACCACCTCCACATTTGGAGAGAGAAAGAAAAGTCACTTCACTCTCCCTGGGAACTAAAGCAACTTCATTTTACCCCAAGGAGAAAAAAAGATCTTCTTTTCCCTCTAAGTCAAGCGACCAATAACAAAAGGTTGCTTCCTCCTCCTTAGAGAGAAAAGGAGAACTTTTCCCTTCTTAGGGAAAGAGAAGTCTAAAGTCTCTAAATTTGAATCTTTTTAGTGATTACTAAACATTACTAATAAATTACAAAAAGGAGTTGCTAATAAGCAGTATTATTGCTAATTGTCAGTAATGTTTAGTTATTACCGATTCAAATTTAGAAACTAACCAAAAAACTGACCAAGGGAGTAAAAGACCTGTTTTTGTTTCAGGAATGAATGAAATAAAAGAAGACTCACAAGAGGAAAAAAAACTAAACTGAGAGAAGGATTCATTATTACTGGAGAATTTATATCTGCTAGAATCAAGAGATATTTTTTTTTGTACAATACAAAGCGTTCAATTACATTTTAAGTTGAACTAAAACATGTAATACTATATTATGATGCAATAAATAGATTGTTGAAAAATAGCAATTGATTTTTTTACTGATGTCTTCTATAGTTTTAATATATATATATTTTATATTTTTAATATTTTAAGTATATTTAAGCCACCGGAAAATATAACCATGCATAAAATTCCAACGGCCCCTCTAGTGGGCCCATCGAATATTCTTTTAACTATTTAACTTTGAATAATGCTACTAAATATTCATCAAATCAAATATTTATTAAAACATTTACATTACTAAAAATAAAACTTGTCAATCTTACTTATTATGATCCTAAACTTTTTGAACATTCAAATGAACGAAATTATTTATTTCTTTTTAAAATTAAATGTTTATTACAATAATTTTGCATAAACTACAAAAAGAAAATTAATTATTGAGTTTCTGAATTTAAAATCTGTGTTTTTATTTATTATTACAATTAGCAATTTATAAAAATCTTTTTAACAATAATTATTTCATTCATTACAACGTTCAAAGCTTGTTGATCATTTTTAATTTTTAAAATTATAAATATAAAGTGAGTAAATAAAATTTGTATTTTAAACAATTCCAATATTATTCCAACAAAACATCAAACTTAAAGTAATTTAAAAAAAATTAATCTTAATTAGAAAAAAATGCAGATATAAAATCTGTCAATTTAATGAATTTTTTTGCAAATGTGACAACTTTGGGCTCCTGACATCAAAAAATTAAGTTCAAAAATTTGTTTTTAATATTTACAGAAACATTTTTTTAACTTGATTTTTGGATCAAAAAATTAAGTTTTGCATAAAAAAAATTAAGATAAAAAAAATGTTGTTATTACTTATAGGAACTAAATAAAAAAACATTTGAAAAAAGTTTTTTTCAACTTAGTTTTTGAATGTCACGGAAGTAAAAGGCCATCAGAATTTTAAGCATGGCTGTACTATCCGGTGGCTTAATTTATTAAGGAGACAAAAATTCTTTCATTAAAAAAAAAATTAATAAAAAGGATTCAGTTTAGAATCAGTTCTACTGTAAAAGGTCTTTTACTCACTTGGGAATTGTACCAATTACTGCGTTATTACAGTATTCAAAAATTATTTAAAGATGCATTTTTTAATCTTATCACTTCAATTATAGTCTCAAGAAATATTTTTACTCTAAGATTATTGAAAGTTGGAAATTTTTAATTTTGTAAAATAAAAATACTTTTTATATTTTGGCAGTAATTGGTACAAGTAAAATTTAATAAATAAATTAAAATTTCGGTACCTTTTTACTTACTCCACATCTTCTGTGATTGAATGTTGTTGTTCCTCTTGTATTTTAGTTGAAATTAAATTGCTTAAAACTACTAACATTTTTCATTTCCTAGCTAATACAATAATTTTTTTCGAAATCTCTAGCTACATAAATAATAACACAAATTCACTGTATATTACAAAGAAGACAACATATTTTAATTTTTTTAACAAAAATTCGTAACACTCGGCGAATTTTCCTCGTTGTCTCTCACCGATGCTTGTTGAGATAACAAAAAGTCTCTGTAAAAAAATTCAATTTCCTTAGACAAGAGAAATAAATAAAAAAAAAATTTTAATATATTCCTACTTCTAAATTTATTTTTTCTACTAAAAATTGTTTTTTTTTAAAAAAAACAATTTAAAAAAAATAAATTTATTTTTTCTACTAAAAATTGTTTTTTTTAAAAAAAAACAATTTAAAAAAAATAAATTTCTACATTTAAATTTATTTTTCTATATAAAAAATGGTTTCTTTAAAAAAAATTTATAAAGATTAATATTGCAGGAAAATGATTCATTAAAGCCAATCATATATTTTTGGAATAAGTAAATAATTCAAAATTAACTTATAAAATTCGAATTAATTTAGAAGAATGAAATAATTTTTATATAAGTAATTAGAAGTTGCTGTTACAAGAAAATGATTAATTAAAACTTATTTACCAAATTATTCATTGAATAAATAATTTAAAATTAATAGAATTTAAATCGTTAAATTAAAAAATTAAATAGAAAAAAAATAGAAAAATTTTTCATTATGAAAATAATCTCGAAAAAAAATTGATTAAAGACAAGAGAAATAAATACAAAAAAATTTTAATTTATTTCTATTTCAAAATTTTTTTTCTACTAAAAATGGTTTCTTTATTCAAAAAAATAAATTTCTACAATCAAATTTAGGTTTCTATAAAAAAATGGTTTCTTTAAAACAAAAATTGATAAAAATTAATATTGCAGGGAAATGATTTATTAAAGCCAATCATATATTTTTGGAATAAGTAAATAATTCAAAATTAACTTATAAAATTCGAATTAATTTAGAAGAATAAAATAATTTTTGTATAAGTAACTAGAAGTTGCTGTTACAAGAATATGATAATTTAAAACTTATTTACCAAATTATTGGTTGAATAAATAATTTAAAATTAATAAAATTTAAATCGTTAAATTAAGAAATTAAAATAGAAACAAAAGAAAAAATTTTCATTATGAAAATAATATCGAAAAAAATTAAAAATTGATTAAATAAATTATTAGTTTAAATAAATTTTATTTGATTTCAATCAAAATTGCTTGATTCAAGTAAATATTTATCTAACAAAAGACAAGTAATGAATTATTTGAAGCAAATAAATTTTTTGGCAGTGGAAATTCGTTATTTAAAAAACAGATATATTTGTTGGTACTTACTCAATATTTATTCAGGACGAAGAGATGATCCAAATCTCGAAAAATGGGTTGCATTGCGGAAAATTCTTGCACATCCTGTTTAACAGATAAAATTTAATGTTAGTTATTAAAGTCTGATTGATATTATTTTTTATTATTAATTAAATTATTTATAAAATCTACTAACACTATTCCGACTATTTAATAAAATTCAATTTGTTAAATGCAAATTTATAATCAACTAGTTGCCCCATCAAAGGAGGTCAATGAACTGTGACGCTCGGAAAAGTCACTCAGGTAGAAGGAGGGAATTTTCCATGAAAGGAAGAAGAGAAGGGGAAAGGGCTTAATTTCAATTTCGTACTTTTATTGTCGTTGAGGAAAAGATAGACAAGGACAGAATGAAAACAACCTCTACTAACAATGACGAAGGTCGTTTCCTTCCTTTAACAATATTAACTTTTCCTTCTAATTACGAATTACAGAAAAGTCGTCAAATAATATTGGAAATAATTTCTAAATTTTTCAGTAATTTTCCACCAAAAATAATTATCAAAAAATAAAATACTACGAGAAAAATTAGTAAAAAATTTTACCATTTTCTTTTATTTATTTATTAATTAATTTCTCTGAATCATTAATTATTGAAAGTAACAAAATTGTTGAATAATTTCTAACTTTAATTATTATAAAATAATGTTTCAATAATCAAAAGTTTTTTATATTTTTTATAAATATCTTTTGTAATTATTTTTTAATACAAGGATTATTTTTAACTTTTCTTAATTGTAATGATTATAATAACACTTTTATTTTAACAGTAACAATTACAAAAAAATTATTTCCATGAATATATTCAAGTAAACTAATAATTTTACTCAAAGACAATATTAAACTATTTTAAAAATTAATTTACATTGTTAATAAAGAAAATGATAAAAAGTTTATGACCACTGGTACTCATTCTGCAGTTTAAAATAATTCTTTTAAAAATTTTCTAAATTTTTTTATTTTTTAATTATTTACCATTTATACTATTTAATGTATTTTTTATATTTTACACAATTTCTTACATTTTCATTTCAATAAGTTTTAATTTTTTTTATAAATGTTACTGAAATAAATACTTAAGCATTTTTTATTATTTTAACAGAAACACATTTTAATATTTTCTAGTAAATTTGAAATTGAGATTTGAAATTGAGATTTGAAAACAAATTCTCCTACATTGTCGAAAGTCATAAACTTTTGTTTACAATAAGGGATTACATTTTTCTCTTTCTTATAATGAGTCATTGAAAAGTCGACGACTAATATTTAAAATAATAATTTCGAAAATTTTCAGCAATTTTCCACCTTAATTTATGAATGAAAAAATATTAAAACTAATAAATAAAATAAATAAAAATCTAACAAAAATTCCACTGATTACTTTTTTAATTTTAAATTTGTAATAATTATTTTTTTATTAGTTCTCTTTTTTATTTTTACATTTTCAATAACTTCTATAGAATTTTGTAAAAAAATTGTTATAATTATGTTAGTTTAGATTCTAATTTTTTTAGTTATTATAAAGTTAATAGTTTTAATTATTTATTTTTATATTTATAATTCATACTCTAATTTTAATTTTATTTAAAAAAATTCTTTTAACAAATATTGTTTCTTAATTTTATAGAATTATTTTTCAATATAAGACATTGAAATGAATTTAAAAGCAAATTTTGAATAATAAATATAATGATTTTAAAAATAACCTCAATAAGATTTTATTAAATTTTAATTGAAATTTATAAAAGATTTGCTTAATAAGAACTAAAAAAAAAGCTTAATGTGGTAACTATTTTTTTTTTTTTTTAAAGAATACTTGTGAAAATAAAACATGCATTTTTTCTTAACACGTGGTGCTAAGAAAGAATTGCTTAGACTGAAAAATGTTTCATCAAAAAAATGTATAATACTTTTAATAAATTTTAAAAAATCCACTGTTTAAAACAAAAAATGCAGATAAAGATTTTTCAGATTTAAGTATAAATTTTTTTTCAGTGGAAAAGTAATAAAAAATACTTTATAAATATTTATTTGACTCACCCCTTCATTTTCTGTTTCTCTTTTCCTATGGTCTTGAAAGCGAAATTTCCGGGCAGATCTGCAAATTTTTTTTGTCCTTTGGAGAATTGTTCCTTCTTCAATGTCTTCAAGACTGTGGTGTAATGTCTTTCTGCAAAAAAAAATTGAAAATTAATTAGACATGGAAAATTTTGAATAAATATTAATCATAAAATCTGAGTTTCAAAATTTGATTATTGTGGTCTGTTATTACCTGTAATCGAAATATTCTTCTCAATCGAAAAACCTTTAATCTGTTGTACGAGGCACAAAGTGAATTTATTTTGAATATTGATAATTAATTTCAATTAAATTTAAATAAAATAATTAAACTATTTGAAAAATTAAATTCTGGTTAATTTTTAAAAATAAATTTTATATTTGCCAAGTTGCCCCACCAAAGGAGGTCAATGAACTGTGACGCTCGGAAAAGTCACTCAGGTAGAAAGGGAGAATTTTCCGCAAGAAAGAAGAGAGGGGGAAAGGTTTCAATTTCAATTTCGTACTTTTATTGTCGTTGAGGAAAAGATAGACAAGGACAGAATGAAACAACCTCTACTAACAATGACGAAGGTCGTTTTCTTCCTTGTTTACAATATTAACTTTTCCTTGTAATTACGAATTACAGAAAAGTCGTCAAATAATATTCGAAATAATTTCTAAATTTTTCTAATTTTTTTCAGTAATTATCCATCAAAATTTATAACAAAAGAAAATTAAAAACATTCAATAAAAATAAAGTTTTACATGAAAAATTGGTATAAATTTCCACCAATACTTTTTTTATTTTTTCAATCAAAATAATTGTTTAAAAAAATTCTAAATTTTACATTTTAATATTAATAATATTTAATTATTTATTTAATTATTATTAGCGTATTGCTACTTTCATTTTTGTTTTATATTTTTTTGTTTGTGACAGTAATTTTTTATATTAAAAAAAAAAAAATAGAAAAAGCAACAAACTATTTTTAATGTTCCATAATTTTTAGATGTAAATTTTACCTAAGAACACTGATGTAAAGAAAGGCAAAAACGATAGATCAATTTCCAATTTTTATTTAAAGATTGATCTCCTTCCTTGTGATTAATCAAAAGCAATTCTGCTTTCACCCTCACATGACTTTATTTATTTTTGAAATTTTTTTTCCATCATTGCGTGAGTTCCCTTTTTGAATTGACAAGCAATAATTCATACAACTATCTCTGCGATTCAAGATACTGATTTGTCTTTCACGCTGAGAATTGAAAAAGGTGTTAATTCGATTCACTAATTCGATTATAAATATCTCACTGTATGATTAATAGCACACGTGTTTAAATTTATTTCATTTTAATGAAGTCCTCATTGAGATTTTTAAAACTATTTCTCTTTAAATAATAACGCAACTATTATAAACCTGTATTTATTTTAATAAATTAAATAAATATATAATTACGAGTAAAATAATAATAATTGCTGTTTTGATTATTTAAATTATTCAATTATTTTGTAAATAGTTTTTAATATTATTAAAAATATATTTGAATGACAATTTCTATTCCCCTTGTGATTCAGTTATTTCTTTTCTACAACTTTTTTTTTTACTAAAATTTTTTAACTAGTAATAAAAAAACTTGTTTTTTTTTTATTTTCATTTTCTTTAGAAAAATCAAAAATTTTATTTATTTATTAATTTATTTTATCAAAATAATTGATTTTTTCCCTTGCTTTTGAAGAGTAGAGAAAAATAAATTTTTTTTTAAGGAAAAAATAGGGGAGATTGGGATTAACTCAGAAAACGAGTTTTAGAGAGAGGGAGAGAAAAAAAAATTGTGAATTTATAAACATGTGTGTAATAAGTACTTACGTCATTAAATTTTTATGATTTGAAAAATCAAGACTTGATTGTAATTTATGAGTCAGTTCGAGAACTCCTTTCGATATATTATGTTCAACAGTGATAATTGACTCCTGATAATTATTTCTTTAATTATTACTATACAATATAAATGTAAAAGTCGTACGCTTTTAGTTTTTTAAAAAAATCCCCATAATAAACTAAATGAAACCATAGATTAATTTCAATATAAAATTTTTTTACGTCCAGGACAAGAGTTTTTATAACTCTTTTTAATTTTATCTCCATTTAATTAAATTTTCACAGAAATTCAATTATTTAAAATATAATTTTTATAAAAAAGTTTAAAAAAATTGAATTTTTTCCATCAATTTAAAAAAATCAACAAAAACATCAATTGATTTAAAAGCTTTTGATAAAAATTTGTTGGAAAGCTTATCGAAAATTTATTTTATTCGTTTAAATTTTGTTTTTCGGAGGTTTTCAGGGACGCTGATTACGAATCCGAAGTCAGATTTTAAAAATTCAAAATGGTGGATCCAATATGGCGGGAAGCTTTTTTAAAAATTTATTTTGCACCTTAAAATACAATTTTAAAACAACAAACAGAAAAAAAGTGTTTCGTTTTTTAAGTGTTATTTAAAATTCGTAGAAGGCGACTCAAATTAATAAGAGTTTGTTGGGGTGCCGCAAAAAATCAACTAGGTTTGCAAAAAGTTGCACGATCTTCGGTTTTCTTGTAAATAATTTTTATTTCAGATCTTTAATTTTCAATTACGCATTGATGCTATTATGAGAACGTCGCGACGATTCTTCCTACGAACAACAACGGAGAGAAGACTTATGGTTTATAACGACAGCTATGCAAATTTTTTGTCGCACAGTCACTCTATTACTTCCTGGTTGCGAATTAAGGCGCCGGCACACGTGTTCACGAAACAGGCGAATGTCAACGTAAACAGATACGAGTGTTGTGTGCAGGGGTGTGCAGCCAACATACAGCGTGATTTGACATCCGCTATACATTCACTATTGCACAAGCTTTAGTTATATATATATATATATATATAGCTTTTTACACCACGTATCTCTCTCTGTCTCATGCGGAGCGAATTCTTCGTGTGGCGCACACGCCTTTTGCCGAACACACCCTCGCGTACATATACACATGCGAGTGCTCCATCATCCGTTTTTATCGTCTTCTAATCGGTGAAATTCGAAGACAGTAAATTACACTGCGGATAATGTATGGGGCCGTGTTTAGCGTGCACCGTGAAAAAACCAGAGGAGGAAAAAAAATGGTACCACTAACGGTGCATTTATACGTATATTGGCAAATTTAATGCCACACACTTATCCTCATATTATTTAATAATCTGCATTTCATTGGGGGTATTAACTGCACGCTTAGTGGAATCGTTATGCCTGTGCCTTTAGGGCGAGTGGAATGTGCGTGTGTATGTACCTGTCTGCTTCTGAGAGGAGCAGGAATTGCACCTCTTTTAGATTACTAATAGGTGACTACTTTGTATATTCACTTGCTTCATTTATAAAGTAGATCCGTATTTATTTTCTTTCTTATAAATGCCTTTCCCTACTAGAACTCAGGTGATTTTCAGATGATTAGAATATTTTTTTTTTGAAGAAATAAATTTTTATTTTCATTTAAAGGAAAATTTCAATTGTCTGATAGCGTACGGGTGGACCTGCTACTACTTAAAAATTGAAATAAAATTCTCTATTCTTCAGGATTGCGTAGGGCTCAGTCCCTACTAGAACTCAGGTGATTTTCAGATGATTAGAATATTTTTTTTTTGAAGAAATAAATTTTTATTTTCATTTTAAACAAATTTCAATTGTCTGATAGCGTACGGGTGGACCTGCTACTACTTAAAAATTGAAATAAAATTCTCTATTCTTCAGGATTGCGTAGGGCTCAGTCCCTACTAGAACTCAGGTGATTTTCAGATGATTAGAATTTTTATTTTTTGAAGAAATAAATTTTTTATATATTTTTTAACAAATTTCAATTGTCTGATAGCGTACGGGTGGACCTGCTACTACTTAAAAATTGAAATAAAATTCTCTATTCTTCAGGATTGCGTAGGGCTCAGTCCCTACTAGAGCTCAGGTGATTTTCAGATGATTAGAATATTTATTTTTTGAAGAAATAAATTTTTATTTTCATTTTAAACAAATTTCAATTGTCTGATAGCATTCGGGTGGTGGTGCTACTACTTAAAAATTGAAATAAAATTCTCTATTCTTCAGGATTGCGTAGGGCTCAGTCCCTACTAGAACTCAGGTGATTTTCAGATGATTAGAATATTTTTTTTTTGAAGAAATAAATTTTTATTTTCATTTTTAACAAATTTCAATTGTCTGATAGCGTACGGGTGGACCTGCTACTACTTAAAAATTGAAATAAAATTCTCTATTCTTCAGGATTGCGTAGGGCTCAGTCCCCACTAGAACTCAGGTGATTTTCAGATGATTAGAATATTTTTTTTTTGAAGAAATAAATTTTTATTTTCATTTAAAGGAAAATTTCAATTGTCTGATAGCGTACGGGTGGACCTGCTACTACTTAAAAATTGAAATAAAATTCTCTATTCTTCAGGATTGCGTAGGGCTCAGTCCCCACTAGAACTCAAGCGATTTTCAGATGATTACAATATTTTTTTTTTTGAAGAAATAAATTTTTATTTTCATTTTAAACAAATTTCAATTGTCTGATAGCATTCGGGTGGTGGTGCTACTACTTAAAAATTGAAATAAAATTCTCTATTCTTCAGGATTGCGTAGGGCTCAGTCCCTACTAGAACTCAGGTGATTTTCAGATGATTAGAATATTTTTTTTTGAAGAAATAAATTTTTATTTTCATTTTAAACAAATTTCAATTGTCTGAAAGCGTACGGGTGGACCTGCTACTACTTAAAAATTGAAATAAAATTCTCTATTCTTCAGGATTGCGTAGGGCTCAGTCCCTACTAGAACTCAGGTGATTTTCAGATGATTAGAATATTTTTTTTTTGAAGAAATAAATTTTTATTTTCATTTAAAGGAAAATTTCAATTGTCTGATAGCGTACGGGTGGACCTGCTGCTACTTAAAAATTGAAATAAAATTATCTATTCTTCAGAATTGCGTAGGGCTCAGTCCCTACTAGAACTCAGGTGATTTTTAGATGATTAGAATATTTTTTTTTTGAAGAAATAAATTTTTATTTTCATTTAAAGGAAAATTTCAATTGTCTGATAGCATTCGGGTGGTGGTGCTACTACTTAAAAATTGAAATAAAATTCTCTATTCTTCAGGATTGCGTAGGGCTCAGTCCCTACTAGAACTCAGGTGATTTTCAGATGATTAGAATATTTTTTTTTTGAAGAAATAAATTTTTATTTTCATTTAAAGGAAAATTTCAATTGTCTGATAGCATTCGGGTGGTGGTGCTACTACTTAAAAATTGAAATAAAATTCTCTATTCTTCAGGATTGCGTAGGGCTCAGTCCCTACTAGAACTCAGGTGATTTTCAGATGATTAGAATATTTTTTTTTTGAAGAAATAAATTTTTATTTTCATTTAAAGGAAAATTTCAATTGTCTGATAGCATTCGGGTGGTGGTGCTACTACTTAAAAATTGAAAT